TGCTCAGCCCGCCACTGTGTGTGTGTTTGTATATATATGCATGCAGTGGCGGGCCGCGGCGCATATCAACCATGTTATGATCTGGCGGACTTTAACGCTGCTCAGTTTATGTTTAAAGCAAATACTGTAATAACATGCTTATTTTGTTCAGAGGCTCTTCCAACACAGAATTAGCTCCTATGAACTGAGAGGAACATCTATGTTTAGAAAAAAAAAAGCCAGAGCAAATATGCAACAGAGATGTATCTCAGTTGAAGAAGTCAATTTTGATTGTGAATTGAAATTGTGTAACTCAATTACAAGTTTTCAAAAGCATGTACAAAGGCAAGGATATCAATCGTTATAAAAAGGTCGTGTAGTTATGTAATCATTACAAAATTATGGACACATTATTTGTCTATGTATGTACAACTGCGGGTATATGTATGCATCTATGAAAATATATATGACGAGTAATAATTGTAGATATGTGCATTTGTATGTACAGTACATTAAATGGGTGGGCATATGTGTGTTTATGTACTGTATATATACACGTATATGCAATAGGTGTGTGTATGCATGTACGACATCGTGATAGTCTGATCGTTTGATATTATGTAAAAAGGGTCGACACTAAAGCTTTGCTTTTAGTCTACACTTTTTTGTCTTTATTTGACCTATATGTGGATTTTGTTTTGAAGGCTAATTTGATTTGACCAAATAAAGGAAAGTTAATTGTTGCTCGTTTCACCCCCTTGCAATACCTATAAAACGCCGCTAGGTGACGGGTACCACAGCTGTAACACACCCTTTCCTGTTTCCTCTATATTTGCCTGTCAGGCACCCTCAAAGGTTGAGAAGTTTTACTTTATTCAAGTTCAAAGAAGAGGATAGTTTCTCTTTCTGCTTTTATGACATTGAAATGTTTCTTATATAAAATTTTATGATGGCAACTCACAATTCACTTAACATCATGCCCTTTGAGAACATTCATTCTTAAAATAGGGGCAATTTGTATGTCAACCAGCATCATGAAACTTTATTTGTTCATTGTAATGTATCCATATTAATTTATTGTACATATTTGTTCGCCAAAAGGATAGATCAGCCATGATCCCGAGTTCATTAATGTAGGACTTGATGTTCATGGTTGAAGATATTCTATGATGAAGTGAAAGAGTAGATATTTCCCACGTTAAAACAAAGGTTGGGTGCAAACCAACTTTTTGACCCACTTTGCACAAAACACTATCTATTGAAGGTGTCAACAGAGTGATGATTGCACAAGGGTTGATGTATGATGTGAGGTGTTGATCGGGTTCCTGTGCTTACCCGTGTGGCTGCGTTTGTGCACCAGCAGTACGTTGATGCTGACGCAGGACAAGCCGCAGATGTCGCAGTTAAGCTTCCCCATTGACTGCATGTGGGGAGTCATGGCTCCTGTCATGTAAGTTCTCTCTGAAGCGGCCCCTGCTGAGGCATCCTGCAGAGCTGCACTGTCGTAAAGTGAATAATCCACCATGGACAAGTCCTCCGGTTCAGCCGCAGAATCTCTTTCTTCATCATTTTCATCATCGTCCTCTGTCCTGTCACCGTCGTATCCTTCCCCCATTCCTTCCTCAGTAACACCCTCTTTTTCCTCCTTTGGCAAAACGGCTTTTGCCTTCTCAGCTTCGAGATATGCCTCATTGTTTCCAATCTCTTCATCCTCGACCTTAATCATACCTACATAAGGATAAAACAAAGAAGGCACAATGAATACCTGATGTATAATTTATGAGGTTATATTTACTCTATATGATCTTAAAGATACTATTTGATCAAAAAAGATTGACAAAATGCATAATCAATGGTTACAGAACGTGTACATTTATAGTCGTTACTTTTAGTTTCAATTCTAGCATGTCTCCGTGGCTAAAGGAAGAACTTGGGCAGATCACAACAAATTAGGAGATGTGTGCTGAAGTTTGGGGGAAGGCATCTTCCGTGGATACACAAAAATTAGAAACAGGATAGGTGAAAAATTCTACAAGGAATTCTATTCCTTGTAGGTGTTCTTTTTTCCTGATGAAACACTGAAACCAGCAGGTAAATAAACCTTATGTCGTTATTTAACGAAAATCATTCTTTATGCAGGTTCTGCCCACATGCTGAAACACTGACATGTCCTCAGGCCTCATTTGCATGACCTCTCTTTAAGAACTTGCGTGTCAACCAACCACCAGTGAATTCAGGTCCATCCAAAAACCACACCGTGGTCTCGGCAGCGACAGACAATGAGCTGACAAGCGTCCCCTCGCACGGTGGGAAATGTTCAGAGGTGCAATGGAAACTTTGCACATACAGAGACCTGATTTAGTGTGCTGGCTCGAAGCACAATAAACCACACGTATGATGCAGATGTACTGCAGAGCAGGGCTTTGGAGAATCTTGTAGGAGTCAAGTGAAGCAGGCAGAAGAAACATCACATACATTTAAAAAAAATGAAGACATACAAACATTTGCACAATTATAATAGCATTTGGACAATGACATAATAATAATAATACAATACAATACATGCTGATTTATATAGCGCTTTCACAACAGCGGCAGCTGTAACAAAGCGCTTAACAAAACAGTTAACATAAAGTAAAATAATAATAATGTCACTCAAGTGTAGCCTTTTAGCTTTACTCATTTAGGAATGACAAACATTTTATTCAGAATACCTCTCTAAACTTTCACCGTATCGTGGTGGAAGGGTTTGTGTGCCCTAATGAGCCTAGGATCTAAGTTGTCTGGGTCTTTATGGCCCTGGCAGGGTCACCCATGGCAAAAAAGGTCCTAGATGAGGGACCAGACGAAGCACTGCTCGAAGACACACCATGACGAATGGGCCTCGCCTCTGGAGACAGGCCGAGAGGTGGTGATCGATAGCGAGTGCCTGGGGGCTGGGCCTCCACCAATGGGTCCCGGCCAGGAACAACCCGAAGAGGCAACGTGAGTTCCCATGGGGTCACTCCCTGTGGGAGGGGCCAAGCGGGTGCATTGAGAACCGGGTGGCTGCCGAAGTGACTTGGCGGTCCTATCCCTGGCGACATATGCTGGCTCTAGGGATGTGAAATGTGACCTTTTTGGCAGGGAAGTTCCTACAAGATATAGTCGAACACACCTCGATGACTTTGGTTCTGGTACCAGTCTTCAACAGAGAGGTTGCACTCCATTCCTTTCTGAAGTTGCCCACGGTGAGATGCACTGAGCAGGTATGCTCATATTTCCCCTGGCTCCATGCCTGTACACTGGTGTTTACCCCGGTGGATGAAAGGGGAGCATCACTCTGGCTTTGGGGCACAAGTCCTGACTGTTGTTTGTGCCTATGCACAGAACATCTATTCAGAATACACACCCTTTTTGGAGTTGTTAGTGGAGGTGCTGGAGATCACTCCAACTTGGCGATCCCTTATTCTGCCGGGTGACTTCATTGCTCATGTGAATTAGAGTGACACCTGGAAGGGCTTGATTGGGAAGAAGGAACCCCACCTACCAACACCTGAACGATGTTCTGTTATTGGACTTCTGTGCTCAGAAACAGCATTGTATAGTCATAAGGGCATCCACATAGGACACCCTCGGCCACAGTTTGATGATTGACTTTGTGATGGTGTCATCGAACTCACAGCCACAGAACCAGGTTGAAAATGGTTCTGAGGAACGGTGCCTTTTTTTACAGCCCAGCCTCAAAAAAAAAATTAATGTGAAAGCAATTCCAGACCAGGGGTAGAATTTCCCAGGAACTGTACAAAATCTTCCCATTTCGTAACTCTTAAAAAAAAAAAAAAAAAAAAAAAAAAAAGAAAAAACAAGGGAAAAAAAATGAAGCGATGATGCCCCAGAACAGAGATTCTCAAAAGTGGGTCGGGATTCAATAGCAGGCCGTGGTCAGATAGTAAAACATTTTTTAGAACAGTTTTGAGGTGGACCAAGGTGCTACATAGAACATAGAATATTGGATCAGGAAATTGTAGTACTAGTCACTAGCTATTCTGAAAAACAAATACAGTCCAGCTAAGCCTTAGCTAGCAACATGTCAAACTCATTTGAAACTGCAATTAAAACTGTAACATACAGTAAATGTATTTTCAGACGCAATTTTCATCCATCCACCCATTATCTGAACCGCTTAATCCTCACGAGTTTCGCGGGTGTGCTGCAGCCTATCCCAGCTGTCTTCGGGCAGCAGATGAGTTTTAAACCCTGAACTGGTTGCCAGCCAATTGCAGGGCTCGCTTCAGTGTTCTTAACTTCTACAAAATGAGTCACGACTTTGCAACAATAGGAAGAGGCTGGTCTCAGCGTGGCAACAATTGAGAACCAGTGCTCCAGAGCATAGCAAATCATGGATGTGGCGTTATGACGTGGGCAAGTGCAGCTGCTAACGGAGTGAATTCATTGAAGCAAAGAAGATACAAGCATCACCTAATTGTATAAAGTGTTTGTGTACAAAAAACATATGAGATGATATAGCCCACCTTCGGTGCACTGCATTCCATTCCTTGCAAATGAGATATCCCTTTCTTCCTCCTCCAGTGGCTTCACATTTGCATTAGCAATGAAATCGTCTGGGAAAGAAGAAAAGCATCTTAAGAAGTTTTGCTGTAATTTATGTTGCGTTCAAAATAATAATCCCCAGGATACTATCATGTGATTCGTCAAATTGCCTCAGAAATAGCTGCTGTGCAATTACAAATGACAAGCTGTTATCACCCTCTGTCCCATTTGTAAATTCCTTACAAAGATTTAAAATGTCATGTGTCGCAGCAGGATTCTAACGGTACCATAGAGATGGAACAAGACACTCACCAATCCCATTTCCAATTGTGGGTACAAATACAGGATTCTTGTCTGTGTTCATGATGGTGTTCAGTATAAAAGGAGTCTCTTTGTTAGACAAGGGATAGAAAGGTGGTAAGAAAGCATGAAAAGAGGTTTATTTTAAGCATAACCAGAATTGCACAAGTTCACGGTTGATTACTCGACCCTGTCATTACATTTAGCCTGATGTGAGAGATGTTCATTGCACGTGTATTTCCTGCCATGTTTGCACAAGTGTAAAAGAACTTTCCACTCCAAGACACCAACATTTGCAAAAAATAAATGATTATTCCACCCTCCTACTTATGAAAACTAACATTTATCTTGTAAATTTCATTTCAACCTGGTTTACATCCATGATTAAAAATACAATATCAAAAGAAAAACATTGTATTCACTAACCCTACAATTGTCACTGATACTTTGCATTGTGAGACACCATAAATGTACAGGCAAAAATACTTTGCTCAACCAAAGGCTCAGATGCATGGTGACAATTTATTTGTATAATCATGAAAAATCTTAATCTTACTTTTTTTGTTTTACACATTAATAAATCCAATTCATCCAAAAATAAACTTACCTGATTACCCGCTTTGTGCTTTGCACTTGAAGATCTGCTCACTATGCAAGTTTCACGTGACACCAGATTCTGTGAATAAGGAATACAAGCAAAGTCACCAAGAAGGGTTTTGGAGAGATCACTTAAAGGAACAGACCTCATTTCAAACAAGGTGGAGCAACAAAGATGATGCAAATTCAAAATGCACCAGTTGCCAGTCTTTCGAGGACCAAATGACTTTTTCAATAACTTGAATCTGAACATTTAAAGCTTTATATTGAAGCATGATGTTTATGACTGAATGAAATAATCGATACTGATCATGATACCAAATCATTTTAATCTGACAACGATATCAAATCTAATCACGTGGTCCTGTTATTTCAAAGATCAACTACGCCATCTTGTGGCTAACATGGAAGCTACATCAAGATACTCAATTGGGGAAACATTTCACATTTGAATACAACTCAGAGACAGACATTATATGGTAAATTATCAATTAGAAAACAATTATGAAAACAACAAACAATGTAAAACTAAAGCACACAGGCAGGTTTTGGGCTGATATATTCAAGATGAAAGCACATTTGGCTCAATGACAAGCATTATTTCTAAATAAGTGGCAGGCAATATTTATTAGCTGAACTAAGCAAGTGTACATGAAGCGCCTGGCGCATCAGATTGAACAAAACACAGTGACGCACCCACCTGAGTTGTAAGACTTGGCGGGCGCCCATTGGCCACCTTGGCAACCAGCCACCCGCTTGAGGAAAAAAAAAATGCATACACACACACAAAGGCAGCACAACACATGCAAGGTTTCCATGGTAAAAAAGGCAATGGAACAGAGGGAGGTGGGTGGGGGGTTATGATGCAAATTATCCAAATCTTGTTCAAAACCTTGAAGCGAAGGTTGAAGGACAAACAAGAAACACACATTAATGCGCAGAACCAGATCAGAGAATCCACTTAATAAGCGGTTCGTCTGTGTTTCAATAAATCTTACTCTGCACTCCCTTGGGTGTGGTGGGGGGTGGGGGTTGAAGGCTGGGGCCAGTGGAGCAGGGTGGTATGAGGAGGAGTTACGCTGTCCATTTCCCTTCAGAACTTTGCAAGAGAACACACATCAGAACACGTGATGAGGGGCATGGCAAAGGAAACAAACATGAGCACGCACACGTTTGCTATTGTCATGGTCTGGCAGGTACGGTAAATTAGGGGTTAATACAACATGTTTGTTCTCGGTCGAAAAACATTTCAAGGAAATGAGAGTTGCATTTGCAAATAAGCGGGGCAGAATTCTGCCATTTCCTTCTTTGTGCAGTCAAGGTTGAGAGAAGAACAAGGGAGAGGGAGTAAGATTGTGTTTGTGAGGAGGAGGCAGAGAGAGAGAGAGAGAGAGAGAGAGAGAGAGAGAGAGAAAAAGCTTTAGCCTGGCTTTTCTCTGCTGAGCCTTTCAGCTTCTCTCTGACTGTAAAAAGAGGCGTGTCCATAGACCAGTATAAAGTCCAAAGAGAGCCACTCAAGTTGAGCCATTCTCAGGCGCCAGTTCTTTGCACTGCACACCAGCAAGAGGACAGACTGCGGTTGTTATTCAAAACATTGCCTTTTGATGATTTTACCAGTGGACACTTGTAGGCCTGATTTTTGGGTGTTTCGGCCGAAAGTAGCAAGACTCTGGACTTGAGGAACGGGCTCACCTGAACACGCTGGTGGATATTCGTTTTGACATCACAAAACCTAGTTCTTATCATCACTCCATCTGCCAGCCGAGCAGATCAAGAGCAAGCTTCTATTTCAATGCTGTTCCACTGAACCAGTGGGACTGAGAAGCATTACAGACGAGGCATTGTGTCCCTAGCCGAAAATATCAAAGACCATCCTGGACAAAGAGTTTCTCTCAACTCCTGTCCCCTCGTTGGGCTCCAATCTGCTGTTGAGAATTCGAAAAGTGACCTAAACCTGAACACCACTAGGAACGTAAAGTGTCCGGTGCATAGGACTGCCTGCAGGCTGCCATGGTGCGTGAGGGTGGTGTGGCGGTGGCTCCATCCTACTGGGGCCTGTGGGCTTTTGCCACTTTGATGCTAGTGGCACTGTGCTTGTCCGACCAGGCCATCCGCTGCCCGGTGTGTTCCGAGGAGAGGCTAGCCAGCTGTCAACTGCCGGAAAACTGTGACGAGACGGTGCGCGAGCCTGGCTGCGGCTGCTGCCCCACATGTGCCCTGCCGAAAGGGGCACACTGTGGTGTCTACTCGCCGCGATGTGGTACTGGGCTGCGCTGCTACCCGCCACAGGGTATCGAGCGACCACTACACTCGCTCATGCATGGCCAGGGCATGTGCACCGATGAGAGGGAGATGGAGGACAACTCAGGTGAGCTTCTTCACAAGTTATCTTTTCGTTTCTTATCAAGAGCGGTGATCTCAAGTTAGTCACTGACAGTCACTGTGCCTTGGCTGGCACTTTGTGGACCCACTGCTGGATATTGAGGTTACCTGGGAGTGGTTTGAGACGTCTTGTTTACACTGATCTTAGCTACGGCCCACACAGCAGCTCCTTCTGCACGGTCTGTTGGGGGCATGCACACAGTTCCCCTGTTGTCTTGCAACCACTTGCTGCGAAAGGGGCCCTGCAGCAGGATCCAAAGCAGAGTGCTGTGGTGATAGCTGGTGTAGGCGTGGACGCGCGGCGAGCTCGTGTTGGAGACATCTGCTGCTCGAGCGTGCGGTCCGTGTGACCTTTTGACCTACAAGTTAAGAGTTTTCAAAATACACATTTATTGAAGTGATATTAAAAGGTGTGTGTTGTGTGTGTGTGTGTGTGTGTGTGTGTGTGTGTGTGTGTGTGTGTGTGTGCGTGCGCATTAACTAAATCATGTCAATGTCTCAAATCCTGAGATTGTGCAGGCTGTGAAAATCATTGTGGTGGTTGTGGGAATGTGAGCGTCGACGCCTGTGTGTGTGTGTGTGTGTGTGTGTGTGTGTGTGTGTGTACTGTGAGGAGGCAATAAAAGCTGCGGTATCAAAAGACTGTAATGGAGTGTGGCTAGTCTGGGGCTAATAGAGCTCTCTGCAATCAGTAATTGACTTGGTGCTCTTTTATTTATCATCCTACTGCTGCAAAAGGTCTGAATTTGTATCTGTCCCTGATGTCTTGATCTCACACCCTGGGACAGATTTAGTATTTTTGTCTTTGCTGTTTTCCTATTGTATACTTTTAGGTCTGTTTTTAATCCTACAATTTGGGATGCCTTATCTGCATATCCCGTTCCAGTTCAATGGACTTTAACTTCTCCCTACTGATGTAATAGTATCAACTCTTTTCTGTCTTTTTCTATTGCAAACAAATAAGAGTGGTGTTGATTTCTGTGACTGTGTGAGGCAATTGTTATTAAGTGTCACAGAGGTGGTTCTTTTATTTGATCCAATCTATCCACATACTGGTCCCGTGTTGCTTGAATAAACTGGTAAATGCACGGGCTTTTGGCTCCAGCCAGAACAACAAAGACTTGGATCCGTCATTAGAAAACTGCCAGGACACTCATCTCCAGTGCAGCATCTGTTTCCATTGCCCCCCCCCCCACACACACACACACTCACCCCCCACCCCCACCCCCAATTCCCTAACAAGCCTTCGAATGCATCGCCCACCACGTCCAGCTCCTGCAGGAGGATGAGCTCATCAGCACTCATTCTGCCAGAGCTGAAATGAGAGCCTTCTGCTCTCCGTGCAGGGCCAGCATAGGTTAGGCCAGCACATAGCGTGACTAAATGGAATCAGAAAGACGAGGAAAGCTGTTTGGAGCATGATAAAAAAAAATAGGAGGGCTCTTCTAGCGCTGACCAGATTCAGAGTTTCTTCAACAGCGACTGAACTGAAAATTACCCACGAGGGGGTTTGAACTTGTTAAAAAGGCCAAGGGTTCACTTGCTGAGTTCAAAAGTCTTTTGATGTGCTGAAATCTGACCACTTAGTTCTGTTCGGCTCTACGCTTCTTATTACCCTCGGGATCAAAACAAAGTGAAGGCGATGTGCCCACTGCACGGTAAATCAATTTTCTGCTGGGCAGCAACTCAGATCCACAGCACAAGAATGATTTATATATTCATCGCGGTGTGGAGCCAGTGCAAATGAGCATGGGAGAAAGGTGGAAAGAAACTCGAGTCAGAATAGATTTATATGTTATTAAACAAGGAGGTGAATTCTACTGACTCACAGTAAGCAATGAACACTCTGGATAAAAAGAGAAAATGTTTTTTTTAAATCCAAGAGAATTCACTTGGAAGGAATCTGTAATAGCAGCAGGTCTCAACAGCAAGCCAGGATCAACCATATATTGTAGGCCATCAATTTATTATTTCCACCATGTTTCCAGTGAAGCCAAATTCCAAGCACTGCTATCATCTATCAAGGTTTAAGGCAGATTTTGTGATAACGTCCCCTTCTTTGAAAGCCCGTCTATGCTAATACTCAGAATAAGTCAATTTGTGTGCGTTGGCATCCGGACCGACATTCCGATCAAGTCTTCACCGTTGCGACACACAAATTCTTCCTTTTCTGAAAAACATTATACACATGGATATGGATGTAAGTGATGAAAAGCTTAATCGAAGATCTGTGAAGTTCAGCCCTGCATTTCTGTTAACCCATCTTATGTTTTAGAAATTGTGTTGTTCAACATGTCTACTGTCTTGGTATTAATTGGGGATTTCATAAATGCCTCTCAAACCGACCTTAGTCTTGTGTATTTGCTTACTCGGGGTGCTGCAGCGCATTTGTACAGCTGTGGCTCTTATGCAGGAGTAAATATGATCAGCTACTAGCAGTCCTTTTGTGCACACGGGACCCCTCGTCGTGCTGCAGCCAAGAGATCCACAAATAATCCAATGCTGACCTTTCTGAAAGACAGTGAATCTCGGGGTGATTATTAGCTTGCACCAAATAGCACGTCTGTGTCATAGTGCAGAGGTTTGGGGTTCGATTCCAGCCTCCAGCCTTCCTGTGTGGAGTTTGCATGTTTTTCCCGTGCCTGCATGGGTTTTCTGCGGGTACACCGGTTTCCTCCCACGTCCCAAAAATATGCATAGCAGGTTAATGGAACACTTGAAATTGTCCCCAGGTGTGATTGTGAGTGCAAATGGTTATCGGTCTGTGTGTGCCCTGCGATTGGCTGACAACCAGTTCAGGGTGTCCCCCGCCTACCGCCCGAAGACAGCTGGGAGAGGCTCCAGCACTCCTGCGACCCCTGGCTGGATGCATACAGTATATCCATTTTTCCATCTATCCATCTCCCTCTCTGTCCATCTATCTATCCATCTATCCACCTATTCACATCTATCTCTGAAAAAAACAACAACTTCACATTATTTTCTTTTCTTCTCAAAGAATCGTAAGATTTCTTTAAGAACACAGAGGAAAGTGTGAATATCAGACGAGGCTATATGTAGGAAAACACTCGCATTGGTCTTCAGTTGATGGTGACATTTATTCGGTAACCCCGCAGCATTCCCACGGGATGGGAATGAACTTTACCTTTAATCACCAGAATGCAAAGGATAAAAACTTCATGGGATGAGATGTGAGCAGGAAGCATCTAGTAATTAAAAACTTGGGAGAGTCCATGAGGAGAAAAGGGGTGACAAAATGTTCAATCAATGAGTCGAATGCAGTTTTAGCTGTTGTATTTTTTTAACGCAGTTGACCTCCAAAATGGGAGTGGTACAAGAGTGGGAATCGTTTTCACCGGGATAGGACGGGACTGTACACAGTTATTTTAATTATAATTATAATTATATATTCTATATATATTTTTAAACTACGGTCCAGAACTGGGACGGGATGGGATTCTTTTCTGTGGGAGTGGGATGGGGAAATAGTCAATATCCATTCTCGTGTCACCCTCTAGTCTGCAGTTCACAAAATTTGGTTTGTTTTACAGATCGCAAAGATTTTGATCAAAATTTTATTTATTTATTTTTTTTGGGGGGTGGGGGGTGGACAAGTTTATTGGATGATGATCCATCCGGAAGACTTTTTATTCTGTATTTGTATTTGGCTAATTGCTGTTACCAAATTTCTTTAAGAATATTGGACGTCAAGGCCACTGAATTGTTTTTAACTAATCGTACAACGTAGCCAGAAATCTGCTTATTACCAAGATGAATTCATTATTTTACATTCAGTTTCAAGTTCTGTGATCCCTGCTCAGTTATTTTATTTGAAGAATCTCAAAAAGACATTTGAAGTTCAAAAGAATCTTATACAATGTGCCTTCTTCAAATCTCTTCAGATGTACTGTATTGCTTCTTATGGATTAAATCAACCGTCTAACAAACAAATCCCTGTCCAGCTCTTGGCGGATTTCTGACTTAAAAACACAGAATACACCCAGGGATCTGGTTTGGCATTAGCGGGAACACTGGGGAGTGGTTAGAGCAGCATGTGGCAATGTAGCACGAGCAACAGGTTTTTTCCTTTTGGAAATTTCTTTTGGTTTCCTATTTGGTTTTGGATTGAGCAAATTAAGAGAACTCCCTGCTTTCCGGGTAATGTTACACCACACATTGATTTTATTGAAGAGTGTTGTTACAATTCCTTTAGATTTGGATCCGGCTATATTATTGATTGCTGTTTTGGCGACATTTGCTGTTGACTCTGAAAAGGGCGTTCCCGTTTCCTTGAAGAAAGTCTGGGTGGCTTTTGAACTCTCTGCCAAATAATTAACAACAACAAAAAGAATCATTGCTTGTGCTGAATAATCGGTGTATGTGCCACATCCGTCCATTTTCAACACCGCTTATCCTGAACAGCAGAGTTGCTGGATGTTATCCCAGCTGACTTTGGGCAGAAGGCAGACTACACTCTGAATTGGTCACCAGTCAGTTGCAGGGAACAGAGAGACAAACAACCCTTCACGCGATCACTGAGTGGGAACCGCTCTCACGTTACTCGCACACAAGTCCGGCGTGTGTACCACTACATCATCAGCGACCCCGACATACAATCAATATATTATTTTTATCCTCCCATGAGTCATATATTGATCTTTTTTTTTACCCTAAGAATTAGGCTTTGCTTGATTCGTGTTGTTTCTTTATGTGGACTGTAGACCGTCTAAGAAATAATGTAATTTCCATCAATTACACCAGTTTTTCTTTCACGACAATGTATTTTGACAAACTTGACAGTGCAACTGAAGTGAAGCCTTTCAGCTTTGATTTGAGGTTTAACAAAAAAATCCTATTTAGGAGTTGCAGCTATCATTTTACATAATCCTCAAAACCTGCAAAAGTAATTGAAGTTGACAGAGAAGACCAAAATTAATAAACATTTTCCTATAAATGCAGTGGGCTTCAAACATATAACACACTCACAATTCTGGAATGAGGTTCTTTGAAGATGAAACCAAGATTAAGTTGGACCACAATGAAAGCAACAGAAAAAAAAGAGAAGTGCCGTGAAAAAAAAAAAAAGGCTCGTGATCCAAAGCAAACCACACCATATTTCAACCATGGCAAAGGCAGCTCTAGTGCCAATCATAAATCATCCATTCGAGACATTCAGAGGTATAAAACAAATGTAAAAATGTGACGTTAAGATTATTTAAAGCTGGAATCATGTTAAACCTGGTCAATGATCGTGTAGCGGTTCACTGTTCTGACTTCTGTGCGGGCTCTGTGGGTTCAGCAGTGGAGTTTTCAAACCTGCACCAAGAAATAGTGAAATATGTTTCTTTCAGTCCACCTTTATAGAGCCTTGCGTTTAGGGTGTCTAGTTGCTTTATTGACTTGCTCTGAGGGATTTGAGGTGGACATCACAAAGAGCGCTGATGAGTAACATTCTCAGAGGGCTGACCTTTGACCCAGGCTACCGCAGCCATTCTGGGTCATTTGGTTTTAAATAATAGTCGAGTCATTTGGTCAGATGTGAGGAAAGTGTCTGCTGCAGCGCTGAAAGAAAACACATATTGACCTTGCCTTGTCTTTTGACGTTTAACAATCAATCAAACACTTCATGGTACACTTATTTTAAGTGAACAATGTATTTTTTTGTAGAACAGTTTGATGGACTTGTATGAGAAATGTCAAATCAATCAGTGGATCGGACTGAGGGAATCTCTTCTGTTACTGGTTGTGTGTCGCTCCACAAGTAGGCTCAAGATAAAAATTGTGAACATGCTGAAAAGATTTGTACTGATTTGAACTCATCTTGGGTCAGCTTGAGTTCAACCTTAGATTTAGGACAACCCTTTGTCTAAATTTGATGGTATTACCTTAGGTGTCCTTGGGTGCCTGAAAAAGTCCCCAAATTGAACATTTCAATGTGATAAGAAGAGATACATTTATTTCTGGGTTAATTGGGGAATCTAAGTCCTTCTATATCCTCCTGACTACCAGGAAAAAAAATGTTGTCCAATCACATTTATTTTGACATTCCCCAATCTATGTGAAGTAATTGGACTCCTCCAAAAAAATTTTTGAAATCCCACTACATTTTTTAAACAGGCTCAAATACACTTAAAACAACTCAAACAACACTTTAACGTGTTCATAAGAGTCTTATAATTAAAATGCCAACAGCATTTCAAGACAAAATGTGGTTGATAAAAAGTATTACTTTTCCTCTTCCCATAAAAAGTGCTTGCACTGAGGGAAGCCATTTTCTTACTTTTTCTAACCCCTACAAATTTGGTATCATTGGAAAGCACTGAATGTCCTCTTTAGTGTAACAAAAGGAGTTAATGCGATTGGAGGCACTGGGTGGGAGATATTTAGGTTCACAAATGTCCTCTACAGAGGACAAATTAGAACTACTGGTAGTCAGGAGGATATGACTGGACAGTAAAAACAGCTGGGTTGTTTTCCTAACCCACTTGCTTCATAACTGTGGCTTTTGAGCAGATTGATTTTAGTTACTTTAACCCAAGGGTGCGTTAATTATTTGGACTGAACAGATTGCGTTGAAGGTTGGATTCAGATCTGCTCAAGAAATGAAACTGGTCGCCATTTCTAAGTACCGGTAAGTTGAAGTAAATCTAATATAAGATCAAATGTTGGAAGTGGTTGTAGTAACAGCACTGACTTTGGAGAGAGGGATGCGATTGGTGTTCATCGGGCTGGGGATCACCCATGGAAAATGTGTGGGATGTGTCAGGAAGGGCATCTGGTGTCAAACATCATACAAGTGACTTGCTGTGGTGACCCATGATGGGCAAAGTTTCTTCTTCTTCTAATCAGCATTTAACCCTAGTTGGGTCAAAATCTCTCCCCATGTGCTAAATGTAAATAACCCAGCAATGACTCGGTCTCTTTTAGACCCAGAGCTGGGTTAGCTATTTGACCCGATTTGGGTTACTTTTGACCCAGAAGATTTAAGATATTTTATAACATACAGTATAGATAGAATGTTGTTTTTTGTTACAGTCACTCAATAAAGGCAAAGCAATTGTAATGCATAATGTATTTATTTCTACTCCTTCGAGAACATTTAATTTTCCATTCAAATGTGATACAAATGCTATTTTTTTAAAATCAGAATAATCCTCATTTAGCTAGTGAAAGAATGTAGTATAACATCATGTGAAAATATATATATATTTTAAAATCAAAATTGTGGCAAATAAGTATTAAATATAACAACATAATCATGATGCAATTTCATTCATAATGAGGAATTTTTTTTACGAATGATGAACCCAAGAGTATCAACAAAATAGAAGATCACAATATCCTAATTAAAAAAGTTTTTGCTAGCGCACAAGAAAAATAGCAATTGAAGCAACAAACTAGACATCTCACTTTTGACCTACTCCCAAATCACACTGCTCTGTGCAGTAACAGTGCATGCAATCGGAAGTATACGAACAGAAAAAAAGAGAAGAATTCACAACTTTGGATGAAGGAAACCACTGAAACAATGCTGGCGCTTGCGATAGGAAGTGCTGATGAGCGAAGATTAAAAGCAGCGATGGTAGAAATACAGAAATGACACCATTCCTCAGACACGCCAAGAGAGACAGTTTAGAAAATCGCATTACTTTTACACCACGGCGAGCTTACTGAAACATTTGCATTAAATTACTGCATATTTTGCAAAAGTACATGTACTCTGTTCATGGTTTGCAGGCATGTTAATACAAACACATTCATTGTTTCTGCCATCAAGAGTCAAAAAGCAACACTGTGCTCTTCTAATATTTCCACAGCGTGTCGAAACAAAGATGGCATAAATAAAAAAAAAAAAAAAAAGAAAAAAAGAAAAAAAATCCAAAGCAAAATCATTATGCAAAGGGTTAGCAGAGAACAGAACTGCCCTCTCTGTCTTTCTCTTTGCCAACAGTGTTTAATTGGATGCCTGCAGGCGGGGACCTCGTATAGCAAGCAAAGCGCAAATCTACAGCTTTTATAGTTTAGCCTGCTTTGATTCCAGCGCCAGTCTATAAAACGCCACAGGTAATAAGCTGGAAGAACAAAACACTGCCAAGTCTCACAAGCCACAGGTGAAATGAGTGTGGATGTGTGCACAGTGAGGTGCACATGCACGCGCGCACACACACACACACACACACACACACACACACACACACACACACACACACACACACACACACACACAGCAGTGTCCACTTACAGTATGACAAATGCAAGTGCAAATACGCTTTAACAACCTCCATCTGGAGGGATGTAGGATGAAGAGGGAGGGGACATTTCCTCAGGAAGCAGCTGGCTGCCTGAAGGGCCACAGAACTCGGCATACAGAGGTGAATGTGGTACACGCCGCAATAGGGGAGCTGTCATATAAATTACCTAATAAATCGTGACATGGCTGGAGTTATTATGAAGCAGGAGGCAGTGAGCATAGGACCGCGTGTACAGTATTATAATAGGAAGAAAGTAACTTTGACAAAGTGTAAGTCTGATTGATTGATTTGTCTGATTTCTTGCTGCCTTTAGTGATGGAACGGCAGGATGAAATCATCCTGGAGCACCCAAACAACAGCAATATCCGTTGCAGTCCACAAGACAAACGCTGCATACAGAAGACCCTGGCCCGACACCCACCAAAATCTACAAATCAGAGAAGCAACACGGCGAGGGAGGAAGCCAAGGCAGCGCTGGTGAGCAAAAGCATCATTTTATTATATCTAAAGAATAACACACTCATCTCTCGAGCAGGGATTCCCAAACTGTACTGCATGAGATTAGAGGTTACTTTACACCCAGAACTGAAAACAGGAATATTAATAGGTGAGGTATATCAAGTTGATTCGATAAGTCACGAAAGAAAACAAGGAACAGACAGTAACGCGTGTCTTTCCATGTTAGTTAACAATGGAACCTGTCTAATAACGTGTGCTGATAGCATTTTGTGTAAAGAGAGAGACAATAATTCATGTTGTCCTCTAGCCCCAGGTAGAGAGTGATTTTAAATAACATACCGTACGCATGAATGTGCATCGAAGACCTCAGTATTGACGAAAGGAAGCATCAGAATGAAGCCATATGATAGGCCAACATTTTGCGCTATGACATTCACATTGTCGTATTAGTTAAAATAGGTTTAAGGTTTCTTTTTTTTTTTCAGACAATGGTTTATTCCAGTCAGGAAAAAAATCTTTTACCTTGTTGACAGTTTCAGCTGGGACTCTGGCAGTCACTTCAGCCTTCGTCGAAGCTTCGTCAAGTTCCGATGAAGGCCGAAGTGACTGCTGAAACTGTCAGCAAGGTAAGAGATTTTTCTTTTCACTGGAAAAACAAGGACAATTGTCTGAAAAAAACAAACCTTAAAACAATACGACAACGTGCATGAGAGACAAAAGCTGTTGTCATGTGAACAAGCAGTTTTCAAGTTATGCTAACACCTGCACTCGCTCAATGCTACTGTTATGCTTTGGATCTAAACAGAACACAACAAAACTAAACCTATCGGGCTTTATATTTTCTCAGAGAATAGCAAGAAAGGTCGTTGCTGGTTGCTAATGAAGTAATACAATATATGATTCAGGAGAGAGAAAAGCATAGAACTGACGGATATATATGATCCCTGACCTCGACCCGCCATCAAATAATAGTTGCCAGTTTGAATTTCCTCACCCACAAACCCTATTCCCGGTGAAGGTGGGACGTTGTGTAAAATGTGAATAAAAATGGAATGCAATGATTTGCAAACTCTTTTCTTCCTATTGTCAGTTGAATACACAACAAAGACAAGATGTTAAAACTGGTAATATATATTGTTTTGTTACACACAAATATTCACTCATTTTGAATTTGATGCCTGCAACATGTTACAAAAAGCTTGCATAGGGGCATGTTTACCAATGTTTTAAATCATATTTCCTATGAACAAAACTCTAGCACTCAGCATTTGGGAACTGAGGATTCTTCATTTGAATTGCTGAAGCTTGTAGGTGGAATTCTTTCCCATTCTTGCTTGATGTACAACTTCAATTGCTCAACAGTCCGAAGTCTCTGTTGTCCTACATTGCGCTTCATAATGTATCCGACATTTTCAATGGGAGACAGGATTGAACTGCTGGCAGGCCAGTCTTAAGGGGTGTTCACACGGCAACTTTTACTCCGGTGTAGCACCGGGGCTGCCCCCCGTAGAGCGTTCACACGTACAAAGTTATACCGGTGTAGCCCCTGAAAACAGCTTAAACCGGAGCAAATTCAACTCTGCTCAGGAGGTGGTTTAAAAATTTACTACGGAGTAAATGCTAGCTTGCGGGGCAGCACCGATATAAAATGGGACGTGTGAACGCTACAGGGGTAGACTCGCTACGTATTATTATCGTATTGCACGGCCGCAGAAACTGCCGTGTGAACGCAAGTGGGGCTGCACCGGGTTTAACACGCTTCTCTTTAGTAAGCAACTTTATACGTGTGAACGCTCCACAAAATTTACACCGGTCTAAGATATATCGCAACAAAATACATCAGTTCAGCACCAATGCAAATGTGTGCCGTGTGAACACTGCTTCTTACTCAGTCTTTAACCGTGCTGTTGTAACAACTTGTGCAGCATCGTCTTGCTGAAATGAGCCCTGATATCCCTGAAAAAGTCGTTACTTGGATGGCAGCATATGTTGCTCAAAAACCTATATACTGCACACCTTTCAGAAATAATGGTGCCTTCGCAGATGTGTAATTAGCCATGCCATTGGACCAACACAGCCCCATACCATCACAGATGCTGGCTTTTGAATTTTGCATCCATAACAGTCTGGATGGTTGTTTTCCTTTTTGGCCCAGAGGACACAACGTCCATAATTTCCAAAAACAATTAGAAATATGGACTCGTCAGACCACAGAACGCTTTTCCACTTTGCATCGGTCCACCTTCGATGAGCTCAGGCCCAGAGAAGCAATCAGCGTTTCTGGATGTTGTTGATATATGGCTTAGCTTTGCATGATAGAATTATAACTTGCCTTTATAAATGTAGCAACAAACTGTGTTCACTGGCAATGGTTTTCTGAAGGGTTCCTGAGCCCAGCCTGGCAATAAACTTGGCACAATGTGACTTTTTTTTTTTTTTTAATGCAGTGCCATCTCAGGGATTAAAGGTCATGGGCATTCACTGTTGCCACTTACGTGCAGAGTTTTACAGATTCTCTGAATCTTTCGGTGATGTTATGGACCATAGATGATGAAATCCCGAAGATTTTCACTCATGTACGTTGATAAACATTGTTCTTAAACTGTCAGAATACAGTATTTGCTCTTCCGGTTGTTCAAAAACTTTGGAACCTTTCCCTATCCTTACTTGTGAATGGCTGAGCCTTTCGGATATGCTCCATTTATACACACTCATTCTACTCACATATTTCCTGTACGTGTGGAATTTTCTATACAGGTCTTTTCTTGTTTTGTTTTGGGTTTTTTTTTTACCATTCCTCAAGTTTCCTTGTCTTTTTCCCCCTGTTTGAGCTTTTTTGGAACATATTTTGAAAATATTTGCAGAAAAAAACCCCAATAACGTTATTCAGTTTCAACATTTAATATCTTGTGTTCGTGGTGTATACAACTGACTCGAGGTTGAAAATTTGCAAATCATTGCATTCTGTTTTTTATTTACGTTTTTTTAGCAAGGGAGTGGCGCTCTGTCGGTAAGTTGAAGTGGCACAGTCATTGTACACTCGCGGTTTGTCAATCGCCAAATTGAATTTTTCGTGATTGCTTTTGTTTTAATTTTTTTTTTCCTCCGGGATTTCATTCCTCAATTACCCCCATTTTTCCGTGTAAAATATATATTTCATGTTTATCATCATTTCCGGAAGAATTTGAGGGCAGGTTGTAAATGCAATTCATATCATTGGGCTTCAATTCCACACGGATTTGCAGGCCAGCCCGGTCACACTATGCCACGAATAGCGGCAGGCAACTGTAAAAAGCTGCGAAAAGCTCATAGAAGCGGCTGCAACTCCAGCAGGTGGTTTATGAAATATCTTCCATTCATCCAAAGTACGTGAATCAGGTTAGAAATTGTACATGACTTAAGCATTCATATCTTAAAAAAGTGTCAAAAAGTCTTTCAATGAATGACAGATAATTTTGAGTCATAAAATGAATTATTTTCCATCGTGAGTATGTTTCCCATACTTTTTAAACCACATTAATTAGGAGTTGTTAATGACAAAAAAAAAACAAACAAACAAGCAAACAACAAGCCCTAAAATACATATTCTACTTTTAAACAAAAACTCCACACACCCTGCACTTTCACTGGCATTGAGGGGAATCGTTCCTCCTCCAAAATCACCACTTTTCAGGAAAACCCCAAAAATGGCATGTTTGGTGAGACATTCACCTCAAAGAGAACAGGCAGTTTTCAACAATTTTAGATTGGCCAACAATTCGTAAAAATGAAAAAAAAAAACAGAATGAGCAAAAATAAATAAATAAATAAAACAAACTATTAAATTGACCGAATTTGGACATCGGAGGCTTCCGTCTGGCAGTGACTATTTCTGGACAGCATGTTCATATTCATAAAAGCTTGGAACAAACAAATGATAAATGCCTTACATAACTGATACGTAACAGAGAAAGGGGGGGAAAAAATCAGTATTTCGAAAGGAACAAGTCAAGATTAACGTAAACATAGTCACTGACCTGACTTCCATGCAAGCAGCGTGTGTTAAATTCCCTCTCAGTGATTGTGTGAATCTGCTGGCGACGAGTCAGTCGATGGTGTTGCCGCCTTTCTTGATACGATAGGTTCCAACTCACACGACCTTGAACAATATATGCAGCATAGTTAATGTATTGAAAATATCGGTCAGAAATATATTGGTTTGACCAAAACCTCATCATAAAATACTTTCCCCAAATCAACAATAACTTACAAATATGAAGGTTGAAGTCCAAACGTAAGTGTATTGTATGTACTGTATTTATGTATCTATGATAGTAGTGTATGAGGTGCAGATGTGTAAATCTGATGCCTGTGTCACTGTGTGTGAAAATATTTGAGCACAAATTTGCTCATGGGAGGCAAGTTCGGTTCAAGTGTGGCTCTGTTGAATACAATTATTATGAATATGTTACCCTGCATGCTGAGAACATTATTTGCGTAACCAATATTGTGCAAGAGTGACTGTTGCTGCTGTCAAAAAAAGCAACTAACACACAACAACAAACATAAAATGACTTAATTTAGACATTGGACTAAATTTTACAGTGATTTGTTCATTTACGAATTGACTACTTAAACAGTGCACAACAACAAGAAATGAGTAAAACTCCAATTTGGTTAGAAGTGAATAAATGTGTGACTGCTGGTTTGCAGTTTTTCAATAAATTTAATTTGACGTTTTTTTTTTTTTTTAATGGGGCACTTCATTGCATTATGGCTTAATATGCAGAATAATTATGCTTTTTTTCCCCCCATTGGCCTGTCGCTGACATACTTTATGAAACAACAGCCATACATATGGATGAGAATGAGCACAATTGTTTGGTACATATTGCCAAGTTCAATGTTCACTGACAATGGTGTCGTCCCCCCCATCAGGCTCCATGTCGTGCTGAGCTCCAGAGAGCACTGGACAGATTGGCATCCAATTCCCGCACCCATGATGATCTCTTCACAATTCCCATTCCAAACTGTGACAAGAATGGAGATTTCCACGCCAAACAGGTCTGTGACATGAAGCACACAATTGCTGGCTGTTATTAATCTGACAGAAAATGAAAGGCTGATGTTTATACATCAAGTAGTTCCTTTCGAACTACATCAGCAGTTTTGGAGCCAGAATACAAAACATGCCTGCAGCAGATTAAATATTGCCTTATGAGTACAAAATCAACAAAAATGTGTCCAAGTTGACACTCCTTTGAGATCACCAAGGTCTTAATGAACTAATTTATTTTTTTAGCTCACACGAAATATGATTTATTTTCCTTTTCAGAAATCAAGAGGTGAACAGTGCATATGAAAGGCATTCTACTCAATGGCTCATGAATCATTGCAACAATGGCTGCTATAATTTTGTAGCTTTTGAACATAGCTTCTTTTAAGTATTTCTGCTTTGCCAAGATTCTGCAACAATTCCTATAAGCACATGCAGGGAGGGAGGGGGGAGAGAGAGAGAGAGAGAGAGAGAGAGAGAGAGAGAGAGAGAGAGAGAGAGAGAGAGAGAGAGACTGGAGATAAGATTGCTTTATAGCTTTTGGACATAGCTTCTTTGATGTATTTCTGCTTTGCCAAGATTCTGCAACAATCCTTATAAGCGCAACAATACAGGCAATGAGAGAGAGAGAGAGAGAGAGAGAGAGAGAGAGAGAGAGAGAGAGAGAGAGAGAGAGAGAGAGAGAGAGGGGGACTAGAGATAAATTTGCTTTGAGCTTTGTATGCAATCAAAGAAAAGCTGAGAAGGCATAAGTCCCCACCAGACTGACATATACTGATTGTGTCATGATCCTCTCCTGTTTCCTCAGTCTCCAGTTAGAGAGTGGGCGTTCCCTCGCAAGCCACACCTGATACGAATCTAGCCTCAGTACCTACTGCTTTTAAAAAGTTATGCTTCACCGACAACTAGGTGTCAGATTATTAGCCTTGCTCATGACTCTGCCTCCAAGTGCTTAATTTTACAGATGTTCTTGACATTTGGCCTCATAGCTTCTCGCCACGTTTGTTCATCGTATTTTCTTCATGTATTAAATTCTTGTGGTTATTGTCGCGCTTTGGATTTCCTTGTTCTTTGAGTTGACCAGCAATTCATGTTTTTTGTTCCTTGCTTTTTGCAAGCGATTTTGGTTTGTTCCGCATTTTCCTGGTTCTTTGTTTACCAGTGTCCTGAGTGTACTTTGTCAGTCCTGCTTTGTTTCTGTTAATAAACTAAATTTTGACATAGGCTCTTATTTTCTACGTTTGTAGGATCCACTCCTGTCCCAATTATTTTGGAACATAACAGATTGCGCAACATGATTTGTGTCCCTGTCTGCAGAAATTCAGAGAAATGTGTTTACAGTTAGAAACTATGTACGTACGGGGAAGTAAAGCCAATGTCATGAGGGAAACTAAGAAGATGTCATGGAAGAGTTGCTGTGTTGTTAACTAGCCTTATAATGGCCTGCTAAATATGCCGTCCAAAATATTTTTCAAATATTTTATCTTTTGTGTAACGTCCTGTAGAAACAATTTCTTTTAAGATTCAGTTACTCATCAAGACATACTAATCATTAAGTGATCAAACTTAAAGAATTTCTATCAGTAAACATTGTTGTCCCAGCAAAAAACGGCATTTATCAACAGCTCATCACGTCAGCTTGCGATCAGTGTTTAACTTTGAAAGACTTGTCTCGTGCTTATTTCCAATTTCATTTTTTTCGTATTTATTTTGAGTGATCGATTGTGCAAGGAGACCCAGTGTTAAAAAAAAACAAAATCAACCCAATGCTCCTTGTTGCTTCTATCAGGCCCAAAGTATTACTTTTTGACAGAACAATGGTTTTTATCAGTTTAGGACTCAAAGATATTACATTTTGCTTGTCAGCCCTGGAGACAGATGAATGATAGCTAATGAGAATTGTTTGTCAGGGATAGGAAAGTAGCAGCCCTCAGGCACACTCTGAGTGCCCCCTTGATTATCCCTATACGCCCCCCCCGCCCCATTTTTTTTAAATACAAGTGTGTGTGTGTAGTTGTTGGGGGTATGGGGGTTGAATTTGTGACATGTTTCCTCTACTACAGTTAACCCCCGTCCCCATACTTGTGGCTCGGCACCCGTGATTCCTACCCCCCCCCCCAAAAAAAAACACCTAAATTACAAAAAACAAAGAGAAACATATTTATGAATAAGAATAAGAAAATGTCACGTTTTGCAAGGTGGTAGTTGGAGGACCCCAAAAAGCAGGGAGGAGCAGAGTGGATTGACCAAAATGTATTTAACAAAAAATACACACAGGAGTACAAGTACAATGAAAAAAACACTAAGTCGAAGTACTCAAAAAAATGCCTGGAAATCACAAGTATCAAACAAAACTACAACAGGAAACAAAACATGACAGGAGCACACGTATGCTCACATACTTACAGCTCACAATGACCCAACAAAGACTGGCAGAAACTCATGCAACTAAATACAAGCTAAGTGACGAGACAACGAGAAACACCTGGACAAGACACAAAGGGTTGAGGGAGCTAATTGGTTACACACAAGGGACACTGATAACGACAACAGGTGGCGAAAAAAGGGCACATGAGGAATCAAAACCAAACGTAACCAGACCGAAACATAATAGAAAACCTTTATTCGTCTCACAATGAAGAAATTCCTAAATTTCCAAAATGTATTTCAATTGGCCTCAACTGTGCCAGATTTTCACTATTTTCACTTATCGCCAGTGAATTGTGCAGTCCCGCGGTATTGTTTTAAGTTGTAATATTACAATTTACCACTAGATGGCAGACATGACTTAGTTGCACTTGCACACGGTCTTATACTACAAAGCAAGTTGTCTTTTTTTTTTCAGATTTCGAATGACATGCAGGACAAAAATAGTACTTTAAATTTTTGAGTTGATGTTTGTGGAAAAAAATGCACAAAATAATGCTGTCCAGTGTTGCTTATCCACAAAAATCACATCTGGCTATTTTTGTGATTTTTTTTCGTTGAAGGCTGGATCTTTTTTACATGCACTGAGGATTGTATTATGAAATATATTTTTGCACTTATGCACATATTTTGTCCATATTTTAAGATGGAATTTTTGTCATGTATCTCAATCGGAAGGACATGGTCCTATGGTCCCCGCCAGGAGGACTGATGAAAAATTGTGGCCCCCTCTAGCATTTAAGTTACCCACCCCTGGTTTATGTAATGAACTTAAAAAACTGCAGTTTAGTCTGTTGCATTTATTACGTGACTAAATGGAGACCAAACAGGAATCTTATTGTACATTTCACATTACATTTAATCATATCAGCCATAGGAAATGTTTAAGAAGGTTGACTCAAATTTCTGCCCACAGTGCCATCCAGCACGCGATGGTCTGCGAGGAAAGTGCTGGTGCGTGGATCAGAAGACGGGCATGAGACTGCCGGGCCCGCTCGAGTTGCGAGGGGAACTGGACTGCCACCAGTTACTGACTGCTACTCTGAGGGATTGAAAAGCAAAGGATTCAATGAGGGTTACGGAGCAGCTTAGTTCAACTGGTGCTTAAGAGCTGATCTACGAAAGAAGATGCCCCACAGTCTCACTTCATTTGAGGCCTACGTTACTTGAGCTCGTGCAACAAAAGGAGTTTGAAATTGAAATGAGTTTTTGATGTCGTAGCTTTGTTTCTGGATGTATGTGAGTCTTCTGGGCGCTTGTCATGTATTGTTTTGACAATGTGAAATTACAACATGTAGTCATTTGATACTGTATGTGCTAAAACAGGTGGCAGTAAAAAAAACAAAAAAAACAAAAAGCACAAACGGGAAATGTTTCATTTTCTCAAGTATTCAAGAGATTAAGATCCGGAAACCAACCATGTTATACATGTCCAGCTCATTCATCCAGTTAACAGCAGAAGATAAAGTTAGTGCAAAATGAGAAAGGCCATGCTCTTCTTCCTTGAGCAACCCAATGATTCAATTTATACAGCCACGCAAATGTGCAAAGTAAGAACAATTTGAAAAAGCATACCACTAAACTGTTGCTACTATGTGTGAGAGCACAGAAGAGATTTGTTTTTTTCTCTGTTTTACCGCTGCACCCTACCCACTTTTTTGCCAACGACTTGTCTATTGCGCACTGGTCCCAAGGTCATGGAATATTGGGCTGAAAGAAGTGGAAAAAAAAAAATATCTGGGAAATACAGTATTGATAAAATCATCTTATTTCACGATCTGCAGCTAAAATGCTAAATGACTCTGGTGAGTTCTTTGATATATTATTAACCCGTACACTTTCTTCAGACTGTTTGATATAATTCTTGGCTGGTGGCATGCACTGATTGCACCAACCCATACACAGTCTATATTTTTTGGACCATGATTGATTGGGACTCAAAAGACTTTCGGGCAATTATTTAATGTGCTACTCCTATGCGATATTGGCCATTTGTGGAAAATCTGCACAGAAACATAAGCAGAGTAAGTAAGGTTGTATGAAAAATTATTTGGGCAAGAAATGATCATCATTATTATCATCCTTACATCGATGATTAAATCAGTTTATCATCTGTAAGTGAGTGGAAATATTTTTCAAAGTACAGTCAAGAGCACTTCAAGTCAAGTTGATTAAAGCCCAAGAATAAATGTTGTCCAGCAGCGCAGTGATGGAAGAAGATAGTCATTCATTTCGAAAGGAAACATGTTTTTTTATTCTTCTACATATGCCCATTTGTAATCCAACATCACGGAAATGACAAGAGAGCACAACGCAGGGGTTCAATTTAACTTTACCCCGAAGTGGGGAAAAAGTGCCAAAATGTGAAATTTACATTCACAGAAATAGCGAATGCATTCCCTCTTTCTGTACAAAAGAGCATAAACAACAGTCTGATACGTTTCTGGAATTTATGTACAATAATGATGCTTGATTTCCTCTGTCTTTTATGTCTCAACCCTAATTAAGTCTGAAAGTAATTCCGACCAAGGAAAGATGAAAGGTCCGACTGAAAATCCACACAAAGTAAAACATTTTATCTTTTCATCCATTTTTCCTCTCATGATCTGTACAACTATAAAAAGAAACCCCCAACATTGGCCATTCAAATAAATCTTGTGAAAGCATCAGCAGGGGACTCACCACAAGAAACTGACAAAAAGACAGAAGTTGGTTCGACAGAAAGAATCGACACAGCAGCTTTAAAATACGATAGACCAAAAAAAAGTCCAGTTTCCCAAAGACTACTAACAATGATGTTGACATTGAATGCGGAGCCGCACGTCAACGGCGACTATTTGTTTACTGCTAGAGGGTCAAAAACATTTATCTATCCAACTGCCTTTGTCTTTCAGAACGCTAACAGATTGTCTTGGCCTTTTTTCTCTGAGGCATTCTAACGAAATAAACTCTGTATTTAAACTGTATGTCTCTTGATCTCTAACTTTGCTGTATTAAACTGTAACCACATTTCCTAACAAAAAAAAAAGATGAAGAAAATGGCATAATGTTTGCATGCATAAAAATCAGTCCGAGGATGAAAAGAGATCTTGAGTCTCTTGTCCACAACAGGACAGCTATATTCAAACACTGAAGTGATCAACAATCTGATAGCCAGTTTTTTTTTTTGCATCCAATGAAATGATTAGTTACACGGTTACTGTTTATTTGATTAAAAATGTAAACATTGTAAAGCATTAATTAAACCCATTTAGAAACCGCATTGCTGATGTTGTCGTTACTTGGATCCTCAGGTACAAGATTTCAGTTTGGAAACGAGTTGACACACAAATATATGGTGTACATATAAAGAATTCTAAATACACTATATTTTTAAACAAACACGTAAATAAGAAAATAAAGTGGGTAGATCATTTGGATTTTGTAATTTTACAAGTAGCTCGCATGCTGAAAAAGTGTGGGCACTGCTCTCCTCGACAATGAGAAGATTGCCAACATTATGAGGTGGAGCTGCAGAACGGTGGCGAAGACCATTCAGTCGTTTCAAATTTCAAAGTCTTTTTTTTTTTTTTGTGAAAATGTTCAGTGGGCATGAATACATTTTAATAAATCACCTGATGTTACTAGGCATTCTGGAATAAATAATAAATACAACACAAGAAAAATGGATAGGATAGCTTCCACTCAGAAGATGCCTCACCATGATCGACCAAAGAAGTTACATGCACTTGCCTTGCGTCTTATCCAGAGGTTGTCTTTGAAAAATAGATGTACAAGTCCTGCCAGCACTGCTGCAGAGGTCATCACCCTTTCAGTCCTCAGACCAGTCATCACACATGGCATCAAATTGTTCTGCAAGGACATTTTGGCTGTAGTTCTAGTTTGGTTTAGTTCGCTTTATAAATGTAAGATGAAGTTTCTGTTACTTTTTGTTGTGTAAGAAGCGTTTTCCATTTTTTCGCGAAATAAAATGTTTTCAAAGTTTTTGTTTTAGTTATTTTGTTAGTTTTTGTTAAGACCAATCCATCCATCCATCCATCCATTTTCTGATCCGCTTATCCTCACAAAGGTCGCAGGGTGTGCTGGAGCCTATCCCAGCTGTCTTCGGACAGTAGGTGGGGGACACCCTGAACTGGTTGCCAGCCAATCGCAGGGCACACACAGACGAACAACCATCCGCGCTCACACTCACACCTAGGGACAATTTAGAGTGTTCAATCAGCCTGGCATGCATGTTTTTGGAATGTGAGAGGAAACTGGAGGATCCGGAGAAAACCCACGCAGGCACCGGGGGAACATGCAAACTCCACACAGGAAGGCCGCACCTTGCACTGTGAAGCGGATGCACTAACCACTTGCCCACCGGGCCGCCCCTAAGATGTACTAGTTTGGTTCAAATGTTTTTTAGATGGCGTGTCTACAGTTGAGCATAGTGCTGGGAGTGTCATGGTCTGGTGCTGCATTAGTTTTGGCCGCACTGGGGAGCTATAGTTTATTGAGGGAACCTCGAATGCCATCATGGACTGTGACATACTGAAGCAAAGCATAATACCCTCCTTTGGTAAACTGGGTCACAGGGCAGTATTCCAACACAATAACAACCCGAAACACTCTTCCAAGACAACTGCTGCCTTGCGAAACATCTAGCCATTACACAAACCGCTCATCCTCACGAGGGTCACGGGCGTGCTGGAGCCTGTCCTAACTGTCTTCAGGCAGTAGGCGAACTAGTTGCCAGCCAATCGCACGGCACACAGACGAACAACCATCCGCGCTCACACTCACACCTTGGAACAATTTAGAGTGTTTCATTATCTTACCATGCATGTTTTTGGAATGTGGGAGGAAACTGGAGTACCCGGAGAAAACCCATGCAGGCAGGAGAGAACATGCAAACTCCACACAGGAAGGCCGGAGCCAGAATCGAACCCTGCACCTCTGCTCTGTGAGGCCGATGTGGTAATCAGTCGCCCACCGTGCTGCTGCCTTACGAAACAAGTTAAGGTTAACTGGGATGGGCTGGCCAAATGTGTCTAAGGGTAAAGATGAAGGACTGGCCTTAGATTTCTCCAGACTGAAACCCTACTAAGGACATGGTGCCTCCTCAAATGGAAGGTGGAGGAGATAAAAAGCATCTTACATCCACTACATCTGTGAAGTCGTCATGAAGGAGCTGTAAAGCTGTGGTGAACTCCAACCCCACAAAAGGTTGAGGTGATACGGGGTAATCATGGCCACACAAAAATGTTTACACTTTGGACATAAGTTAATGACTTTCACTTTGGCGTTTACTCACGTTTGTTGCCAGGGGTGCACATTTATGGCTGCGTGTTGAATTATGTTTGAGGGTACAGTAAAATTACACTGATAAAAGCTGTACACTGATTACATCGTAACAGTGTCATATCTTTACTGTTGTTCCATAATAAGATCAAATAGAAATATTGACAAAACAGTCATGTGTGTACCCTCTTTGCTGCTTTGAAACATTCTACCAGATGAGAGCCGTCAAACTGCATGTGATATATTTACAAGTGCCTTCAGCTGTTTATCCTTTGAAATGTTTTTTTTTTCTTTGAATAAATCAATTAATTTTACTTCATGCTGAATAAATTGCGTGCTTGCTCTGGGTTATTGGGCTGTCTGTCATGCATTGTGAGGGCTGATTAATTATACTCACAGCAAGCCACTAAGGAAAACCCCTGGAATGATACATCATAATATCCAGAGCTCAGCAACTTCTAAAAATATCTCTATTGCCCAGCACCAGAGTAAACTCTCACGTCTGCTTAGTTCCAGTAAGTGGGTCCATTTTGGGGAGCTGTGGAGGCTTAAGAACTGTGGTTCTATTTGCATTACGAGAACAGCTTTTTGGGTCATCCACTGATTGATTTAAAATGGCACAGGCCCACTCTCCGCCCCTGGGCATCCACAGCTGTGCCTGTGAAGCCCTGAGTGTGTGTGCGCGTGTGTGTAGGTGTGTGTGCATGTTAAATCAGCGTAGCAGATTAAAGGTGCCATTCAACCTCCACCCTTAAACCCCTATCCCACTGAGCTGCAAACATTTGTATTTTCTAAGGTCGCGAATGTTGATGTTCTTGTCTGGGTTCGTTCAGTGTCGCAGGCTTGTGCCAAATAGACGCCAGGCATTCACCTGTATTTTGAAGATGTTCCAAATTGTGACAAGAAAAAACATTAAAACTGTTGGCGAACATTTGCGACCTTGAATGGCCCCTGACAAGAACGCAAAGTTAAATTTAACTCATTTATTTATAAAATCTAGAAAAGATTAAAGATTATTGACTGCTTTATGGGAGCTTCTCTAGTTTTCTTGTGACGCCCTGCACCGCCTCCTTGGAGGGCGATGCAATGTTAACTTTGTATTGGGCATCCTTTCCACAGATATGAAGAGAAGACTTGATATTTTATATTAGCCTGCGAGCTGTAGCAGGCTAAAAGATGTGATGGCCATGTCGGCAGGGGTCACGTTCCCATCAAAGGCAATGCATGGACTTTGAAATTAAGTCTTAACATGTTCATTTCTGAAATGATTTTCATGAGAGTTACCGGTAGTTTTTTGTCAATGCCAAAATGTACTAACAAAACAGATTACCGGTAGTGAAAACAAAGTCACGTGACAATGTTTTGTTCTATTATTAATAAATAGGTTATTTTCGGTTGTCTTGTTCTGATTGTACAACCATCAGCAGCACAGTATGGTGGCATCCTTGTTTTCAGTTTTCTTGCCATCCATACAAATTGTATGCGCTGACTCCTTTGCCCCCACTAGCTTAGCCTTGCATAAGCACACAGCTCAAAAGGCGTGTGTCTTATCTACCTATGTTCATAGCTAACTGCTGCATTCCAGAAAGGTTGGAAATTGAATGTATTCCACTCAGATTGTACCAGTTGCGACTTCAAAGCATTCCAAGCCAAATGTAAACAACAAAGTTGGCTGATCGCAAGAAGTCGTTGTTTTTTTTGTTACTCAAAATACATTTTGACCTTCAGCAAGTTCTTACAACATGCATTTCATACATTTCACTGAATGGCTTCATGCAGGGAGATAATGGCATACTAACGGTCTGTGTCTCCGTGGCGTTGCCATTGTCGAGTGATGGCACATCACTTGGTGAACCTGGGGTCCTTGTGCACTTTTATGTGATGGAAGTCAGAAAAGTCCGCCTTCACGCCTTCCTTGAATGCAGAATTAGTCCAGTGATATATACTGTAAATCCGTGTTTAAGTGGCGTTCCAGTGCAATTTTCATGGTCGGACGTTGGAAAAGTCAGATTTCCCACTTTCATGGAATGGAGCATATTAGCTCATCCCCATATTAACTGCCAACATGGAGGATAAACAAATACGGGCACCACGTTGGTGACAGTTAAAATTCTTCTGTCCACTCTTCAAAAGACTCCGGTTTTACTCTGCCTCCTGACACCAATGGAAAAAGCGATATTAACCCTTTCACGCCCCAATAATGATAAACGTGTAATATGATAATATGATAAAAAGTCCACTGTAGTAATCACTGTCCCTGAAAGGGTTAAAAGCAACTGGCTCGCGTCCTGTATGCCTATATTGGGCTATATTCCCCTGAGAAAACAAGGAAAAGGACTCATAAATGACTTTGCTAAGTGCAAACCCAGTAAGCTTGTCCAGTGTGAGTATAGTTTAATTTTGTTATGAAATGGAATTTGTGAGATTTAAATCTAAACCAAAGTATATATATTCAAACAGATAGAAAAGTTGTAAAACAGAATATAATATATTGGAACATTTTGGTGAGATTTTAATTGCACACCCTGCAAAAGTAAATGATTTTGACAATAGCAGTTTTCTCGAGGGTTGTGCGTATATCCAATGTGCGAGTGTGCTTGTGTTTTGGCATGGGTCTGAATAAAAAATGCACTGAGGCCTATCACAAAGATGTTATGCCTGTGACCCGAATAAAAAATGCTACAATTTAAAAACAAGGATACAGCTAAAGCAAAAACAAAATGCACAATTCTCGGTTATTTCACAACGTACCAGAGGGCCAAAGTAAACAGTCTAAACACAATCAATTATAATAACTACAACAAATTTTCTTCAGGTTGAACGGTTAGAGAAGTAGGCTAAATCCAGAGAGCTTTTGGTTGTTTATATTATGGGAACACACTATTACAACTACAGACCTGGGGCAGTTCTCCAAAAATGCGAACAAGAATGCAAAGCATTTCACTTATAATAACACTGGAGCATCGAGAGAAGAAATATTTATTTCTCCTACAGCATGGTAAAAAAAAACTCCGTTTGTAGTACAGTACTGCATTCTGTTGACAATTAACCAGTCTAATCGAATCTTAAAATTTTCGTTTGTTTTGCTGTGTTGCTTCGTACCTATTTTTTTCTCTGTCTCAATTAATATCAGATATGGTTGCATGAGGAAGTAGCGACGCAAAACATTCAGGGAGCCGGTAGTGTCGTATAGTTCAGTGTATACGTCCGGCGTGTGGTGTATTGTGGTGTAGTGAAGGGGTAGGCGGCGGTTCGAGAAGCTTCCCTCGGTGACACGTCTTTTCATTCGTTAAGTGTGGAACCTGGTGATCTGCGCTTGCCATCTGGCGTATCGTACTGTGGAGGGGGACTCGGCTTTTCTTGTGAGTGTTCCCGCTCAATGTGTTATTTCCAAAACGGACTATAAATCGTTTGATTGGCACGTTAATATGTCAAGATGCTACTCGGTCAGTGTAGCTAGTTAGCACGCTAGCAAAGCTCGTCAGGATGCTAGCATAACGCCTCTGCTATTTTCTGTCAACTGAGCATTAAGTCCCACATTGTAAATTACATTTTTACTAACTAGCCTAATTCTTAACACATTTAATACACCACTGGCAAATAACTGGTGTCTGATATAAATTTGAACGCACTCTTTAAACTCCAGGCCGTACACGCTGCCGATCCATTGTTGTCAAAACTACTCGTTTGCTTGTTAGCTTAGCATACGCGCATTACTTTGTACTACAGAAGAACAAATCGTTTTGAACAATTAATCGATAGTAATACAATGAATGGAGTTAGCGCTGTCATTAAATGGGTGACCATATTTAAGATGGTGTTGGATTATTGCATTAAGTGCCAGCCTTGCATATCATTGTTTCACTCCAGGCAGCCCTCATTCAGAGCTTGCATTTTCAAAGCATTTGGGGAGGACATTTTGGCTTCAAATTTCCTGAAAACCAAACCTTCAGTTTTCTGATTTTCTGCTACATATTCATCAATAATAGGGGTTAAATTATCAAAGACTTGATTACCTCATCTTGGATCAAATGTACAATTTTTATTTCATTATTTGGCCTTACAATACATGTCATTGTAATCACAGTAACTAGGTTGCAAATCAAGATGAATGCCTTTTATCAAGAATCGAACCTGGCCTTTTAGCTATCTGGTACTATCGACTCCAGGACAGATTTACTTATGTAAATAAGTCAAGAAAAATTTTAAAAAGAATTATTCTGATCATATGCATAACAGGGTTGGTTGCATGAGATAGAGTGAGACATTTAATCAAGGCTAACTATTTGATAAAAATGTGAAAAATAGAAGAGCGGATATACCTTCTGCTCCGTTCTTTTTGGAAAATTGTTTGATGAAGTGTATCATGTGGTTTCCTGCTTTCCTCTTCTGTGGTGCTAAAAAGGTTATGGCAACAGGGTTGCGTGCATGTTGTGGGACACATGTTGCATGAACAGTATTAATTATTTAAAACATGTTTATTAAAACAAATGTTCCCACATTTACAAGAGACAGCAATGAAACAAATGGAAAAAAAACGTTTTATTTGAGTTTCAGTTTGGTCATAGCGTCGGGGGGAACTAGAGAAAATGGCATTTTAGAGGGTACTCCTGAATTATTTAGCATTTTCAAACTATTTTTAAGCATTTTTTTCCTCTTTGTGTGTTTTTTTGTGGGGGGGGGGTTGGGGAGATTGATGTGGTCTCAGAATGAGTAAATGTACTCATGAACTGCATGTTTTAGTGTTGTGCATTATTTAAATTTTGATGGGTGGGATGTAAGATGTCCTCCAATTCTGTATTAGCCCATATATTTATACATGGTCCTAAATGTGTGTTACAGAACTGATGACTGGATCGGACTAAAACCTGTATCAGTGCCAAGATGTCAAGTAAGGAAATTATTCTTTTCTTTTCCCTGTTTTTGGTTGGTGGGGCCTGGTACGTGCATTAAGACGTTAGTTCACATGAACTAATTGTAATCACGTGGGGATTCTTGGTGTGTAGCAGGTTATAAGTATTTTTATGGAGACACAGGAGTTGAGGTTTATGATTTTCTTTGGGTCTTATTTTTCCCCATTCCAGAGAGGCCATCCTATGCTCCACCCCCTCCCCCTGCACCTACAACTGTAAGTATGGCCCGACATATTTAACCGAAAATAATGACTTGGTGTCTCACTTATAGATGGTGTCCCCCTGCGGATTAATTTGTACTCATTTACCACCATCTTTGTTGGTTTCTTTCCTATCTTTAAGCCATTTTCATTCGTGTTTCTGTCTCATTTGTTTCCATTAGCAAATGCAGAATACTGCAGGATTTGTGGGGTACAACCCTTACAGCCATCTGGCCTACAACAACTACAGACTGGGAGGGAGCCAAAGCAGCAACAGTCGGGTAACGGTATGAATATTGTCATAGCAAAAACGAAAAAGTGTCTATTTGTTGCCAGTGAATTGAATACACTGCTCATGAGTTGGCTTGCCAAATTGAAAGCAACGTTTGTCTTAAGCTCTTGCGAGCATCCCAAAAAAAATGCAGCCATGCACAAGATTTACCTTTTGCTTTTTTTGAATATATTGTAGCTTTGCATTGGCTCTGTTTAAAGCATATTTGTATGATATTGTCTCGAAATCAGTCTGAAACTGCTTTTGCTGAGTCCTGACTTCATAACAGTGCAGGCTGGCTTACCATCCATCTGTAGTCAAACGCCACCTGCCTTGAATTGCTGCTTTCTGACGGCCATGTGAAGTATCCCATGCCATCCCCGTTGCCATGGAATTATACACTCGCTGCTTGGCATGACTGGCTGCTGAACAGTAATTCAGTCGCTGCATGAAAGCCGTGCTTGGCTAAGTCTGATTGATGATGGTGTTATGTCACGCAGCAGGCAAATCTCAACTTTGGAAAGATTTCCGATGTGTTTTTTTTTTTTTAAATATATTATCCATTCCACTCTTTTGTATAGTGTAGTACTGCACTATGCTATCTTTTAAGTCATCAATTGTTTTGATCACAGTTGTGCTTAATTTCAAGTCGTCTCTTTTTGAGACTTACACAGTAGACCTTCAAATTTCGGCATCAGCACATTTCAAAAGTATCCTGGTTCTTCAGCCAGATATTATAGGCTCTGTGTTTTGCGTTTTTCTTTTGTCAGAATTCCTCTGGAATAAATATACCAAAGCCACCCAAGCCACCTGATAAACCACTGATGCCATATATGAGATACAGCCGTAAGGTAAGCACTGTACACTTTGAGAAATCTCTGTGTTTTGCATCATCAAGTCATCATTTGAGCAATTGGAACACCTGAATACTTTAACCACTTCTGAGCATGTCAAAAATAAACTTTGTTTGAAATGTCAGTGTTTGCTAATTAAGGTAGGTGTTTTAAAATTAAGCCAGGACACAGTTAGCCCAGTCCTTGTACATAGTCGGATTTATCAACTTGGAGATGGAGCTTAAAGCACTCGGCCTCCTCTGGTTTGTGACCTCTCTGCAAAGAGATAACCACGTATAGCCCCTCCAACCCAACCCAACCCAATCCCACTCCCATGTCTGGTTCTCATCACCAGGTTTGGGATCAAGTAAAAGCCTCCAATCCTGATCTGAAGCTATGGGAAATTGGGAAGATAATCGGTGGCATGTGGAGGGACCTCACTGATGAGGAGAAACAGGATTATTTGAATGACTACGAAGCAGAGAAGGTTGGTTGTTTTACAAGGAATGTTTTGGGGTCTTTTATGACTGATGGCCACCAGATACAGTGGATGTGAGAAGTCGACGCATTGAGGTTGGGCGATATTTGGATTTTGACACTGTTTTCACCCTCTCCACATTACACCTGCGCAGACCGCCCCGAGTTGGTCTGGATTTAGAGCCGAAATCCGCACTTGTTGAACTTTTAAATAAGTTTGAATGCATTACTAATTGTACTTTTGCTGAAAAACATGTCACAGTCAGAAAAAAAGAAATATTCAATTTTGGCGTCGTCGTAAATGGTAAGTTGCACTTTTCCAGTGCTTTATCGACACGATATGTTGCCTAAAGTGCCTTTTTTTTTAAAAAAAAAAAGATACCAATACGCCTCCAACAACGCAGCGTCACCCTTTGGTTTAAAATAGCTTACTTTAACCTCTAGGCGCTCTGCTGCAAATTGTTGAGGGGTAGAAGGCAGGGTGTTCTTCCAACCATCCATTCTTTTAATGAAGTAGTCAACCTTTTGGACTAATTTTCACTGTATTTGATTTTCGTCAAGGTGCTAACTTGAGTAGTTTCGTCTTCTCTCCGTCATAGAAGTGGCCAAGGTCTCTTTTCGTATGCCGATGTGAGTGGCCAGCAGACAAAGGTGTTAATCAACTGTCTAGTTGGGCTTCAGTGACTGCTTAAGAGTTGAATTTAATGCGCAAAATCTGGCAACTCCCGGTTTGGTTGCTCAAACGAAGCCACGAGCCGGGCGTCACGACACATAACGCTCTTTAGCCTCTTCTTTCTCTTCGCTCTTGACTCATTTAATTCTTTGGTGATTTTGATGCAGATTGGTTTGTTACAAACATCAGACATGCGTTTGTGATGTCATGTTAAAATGTGTCATTTCAACACGGCAGCCACTCAAGAGCGAAGCTTTATCTACCGATATGTATACACCATCTATCAATATCTATGCGCTGATGGCCGACTGCCTGAAACGTTTGTATTTTTGCTTCCTTTTTCCTCAATGATTATCAGCCCCCATAGCATTTCAAAATGTCTTGTGCAGCTGTTGGTGTTTAAATTAACAACCGAAAAAAGATGCCACATCGCAGTCATTACATTTTAGGTGTGTGTGTGGGGGTGTGTGTGTGGGGGGTCATTGCGCTAGAGTCGCGAGCTGTGCAACGGCCATCTCATCTGAAATTCACTCTCCGAACATACTCCATCTCGTCAGAGGAGCGCAGAAGCGTCAGGCTGAATTTCCAAACACGCCCTTTGTCTCATGTGATCTTATGACCTGTCATGTGACTAATAGAATGTCAATCCCCACACAGTTGCAAGAAACATTTATAGCCTGCTATGAGTTTAATTATAGTAATACCGAGTTAAAAAAACCTATACAAAAAATTATATTTAATATCAGAATAGGTCCCCATGTGTTGCATTTAGTTATGACAGCGTTGAAAGTTGCTATTTTCAGACACCGCGGAAAACCATATCCGAAGTACCGCCCAACCATGCGAAACACCCTGTTGAAACCCAATTTTTTTTGTGGTATTAAAAACAAACTTGACACGGTGACAAATAATTTAAAAACTTTTTCCATTGTGACTGAGATCAAACACTTGTATAATGCATTTGTGAAAAGGATGGGAGTTGTTCAAGTGTAAACACCATTTTATAACTGGGGTTGTGGCTGTGCTCAGATTTCAACAATTGCATTCAAGCGCTGGTAAATGGGAGTCAGCACACACACCTGTCACTATTTAAAGTTTTTCTATTATTCCCAAAATAAAGTACAGATGTTCTAGTAGCCTGTTCTTGATATGTTTTTGCTTTCTAGCAGAGGCCTGAAGATTTTGAGTTAACACTGGCTTGTATTTTAAACTGTTTATGATGTAACTTTCAGATGAACTATATTTGATGAAAAAGATCAGAATTTTTTTTTGGTCTTGATTTATTAAAAATATTTTTTTAAGGTCATAGAAACAAAATAACTCTATAATAGAAAAGCTATTCCCGCATGAAACAGCAATTGCTTCATTTTATATTACAGTGTAATGTTTCAAGTACGTGTGGTGGCATGAAAATGACGAAAGGCAGAAAACCACATCCATACATGTGGTGGGATTCCACAAAAACACGTCAAGTTGAAACTTTTTTCAAGATCAGTTGTACAACACCCATTTGTTCACATTTAGCCCAAAAGAGGAGACCACAGCAGTACAGGATGAATGATGCTATTGCTTCTAGGCAACACAGGAAGAGAACTAAATTACCCAAACGACTGTTAGAACAACTGTGTTCATTATTTGAAAGCAGAGTTAGTTGTTTTACTTCTACAATGTTGCATTATGTGAAATTGGTTGAATGTACCGTATTTTCCGCACTATGAGGCCTACATAAAAGCATTGAATTTTCTCAAAAGCGTAAAAATAATTCCAAATTAATCTCACATTTTAGAGATGTTATAAATGTATTTTCCGCACCTAAAAGTATTCAATTTTTTAAAAGTCGATAGTGCGCCTTATAATTCAATGCACTTTTATATATGGATTAATACTCTGATTTGTTGGACATAGTATTTTCATTGTTTTGTAAAGTGCTTTGTTACAGCTGCAGCGGTTGTGAATGCTCTATATAAATAAAGCTATATTGGATTGGATTACCTTAGCATGGCTCCATCTAGTGGATGCATAGTGCAACCGCAGCCAGTATTTCAGCTTCTTTTCTATGTACCTTACAATGTGGTGCACCCTATATATGAAAACCGTTTTAAAATAGGCCGTTTGTTAAAGGTGCACCTTATACTCCGAAGTGCCTTGTAGGGTGGAGAATGCTATACTGTAATTGGTTTGCATCATCTATATTCTGTGCCGCACCACTAATATACGATAAGCCCATTTTGTGCACTTGTTTGAGCCACTGCTGCACTTGACTTAGAACCATACAAGTATTGTGTTTGGGCACATTAATTGGAATTTCATGAAAAATTATTTAGGTCAATTTTAAAGCACTTCTTAATTTTTTTATTCTAACAATGCATTGCTGATGTATCAGATCAGGACACTATTTCAAAAGATCCTCACAATCAAGTGATTCAGACTCTGCCAAAAATGTGACACCTTAATTGAGGGAGTCTGTTTTGTAAATGTATATTTTTGTGTTTTGGAGTTTGGTGTTGTCACTTTAAATTGGTTCAGCAGAAAAAAGTTAATTATTAAAAGTTCAGTTGAAAGTAGTTACATTTTTTTTCTTTTACTTTAGCATATGTTGTCACTCTACATTGAGTCAATAATTTTTTTAAATAAATATTATCCATTTGTTTTATTTTGTAAAATTACATTCCAGCAGAGCTTTTCTTCAAAATCAATTTAGCTTTGCTTCTAGACAAGAAAATACATTTCACTGCTCAGATCAATGTGAATTAAAGAAATTAAAACAATTGTTTCCATTAAAAAAGATTAGTTCATTCATCATATCTTCAAATATTTATTTTTTTAAAAGCAATTGCCTTGGTTCCCAGCGATTAACCTGCTTAAAAAAAAAAAAACTCTACAATGTTGCTTATGAAATGAAGTCACTGAGTCGCAAAACTGTTCTGCAAAGAAAACACATTATTTCTCGATGTATATATATTTATATAAAGCCTACGAGAACATCTGAACTTGATTGTGGGTTATTCAAAGGAACTTTAAATGGCAGATGTGTGTTGACTCACATTTATGGTCAGTTTGAATATGAATACATTATACTATAATACAATACATCTTTATAGAGCTGTCAGAGATTTTCTCGGACAAAGTTAAAGAAATGACTCGGCACACAGGAAAATTGTCTTCAATATCGGCGGGAGGGGGATCTCTGAGAGCGAACGACGGTAGTTGCTCCGATGATCACAATCTCTCCCTCCCTTCCCGCCAATTCCGACTTTTATTGTAACATACAAGGAAAACACTGCCCCCGACATTTGCATACCGCACCCCCGGTCCGGCCCCTCGGTGGTGATTGGTTACCTGTTTTTTAAACTTGAACCACCAGTACGTTGGCGCCTTTTCTGTCTGGTCTACATCGAATTAACATGTTGCAGACTTTGCGGACGACAAATGTCGCCTGGGCGCGACGGGTGTTCTCAACTCGTCTTTTGTTGTTCAACCGCTGTTCCCAAATTATTCATTCCCCTTTTGTGACCGAGTTTCGCCCCCTCCCCTGTGATTGCCCACCTGCATTGACGTGCTAATTGTGGACTTCAACAGCCCTCCGGCCAGGTGGCCGGCGCCTTTGTGCACAGGAGGTGCTGGATACGCACCCAAACGTTTAGATGTGTCCAAATTAAATGAAACTTTAAACATGATACAATTTTGCTCATAAATTCCTCTAACAAGAGCACTTTCACAGCAATGGTGAATTCTGAACGCGGTCACTCACCATTCGTGAGAGGGAATTCACTGTTTGCAACCACATTATTATTCCTCTCCTATAAAATGTTTTTTTCCCCCCGCCTATTGTGTTGTGCAGGTTGTAGGTGGAAACACTTTTGAAATGATTGATAAAGGGTCTCCTGTTTTCTATCACAAAAACCTGGCATTTGAACAGGGCTGTGTAGACTGATGTCTCCAGCAAATGTGGGTCCCTCCAGTCATCATTGCTTCCTGTGTAACAATCCTGCCTAACCACTTTCCTTATCTTGATTTTAGCTGGTGTGTGCTTGCTTGCCTTCCCCTTGTAATTCCTGTCATCTCCAACATAGATTGAATATAATGAAAGCATGAAGGCCTATCACAACTCGCCAGCTTACCTGGCCTACGTCAATGCAAAAAGCCGCGCTGAGGCAGCACTAGAAGAAGAGAGCCGTCAGCGGCAGTCTAGACTGGACAAAGGCGAGCCATACATGAGTATTCAGCCAGCTGAGGATCCAGATGGTAAGGCCATGCAGCGTAATTTGTTTTCCACCACACTTTACAGCACCATGCTGCAATTACTTCAGCGGGACCACACAAACTGTTGTCTTGTATTTTCCACTGGTACCACGAGTTTAACCAATTTTGGTTTGGTTTTGACAATTACATCTCTGTTTCTCAGCAGTCAAATGTCTTGCACAGCATGCAGGTTTTGCAAAATGGGCATTCTTTTTTCGACCCCCTCAGACACACACACACACACTCAAAGAAAATGTTAACATGAGCTACACCCATGTCAAGGAAATGAAGCTTGGCCAAAGTGTAGCTGTCTTACAGTGAAAGATAACAACAGTGAGGACAAATACAGATAACAGCATTTAGAAGCAAGTCAAGCCATAAAATGTCTGTGCCGTCCTGAGGGGTGTTGGTCTCAGGAGATCTCATGCACACGTTGTTGGCCAACTACAGTTTATGAGGAAAAATATCTTCGGATAAAGAATTTAAATCTTGCACGTGTTTCCTGCTCCGATCATTTTTGTGAGGGAAATGTTCAAAGTTGAACCCTCTGACTAGTTCTACAGTACGTCACACCTTGTCATTGTAAGCACTGATGCCACCAAAACTAGGAAAATAGGTTTATGAAAAGTCAAATAAAATGGCTTGATTGAAAGGATAAACAAATGTTCAAATAGTGTATGTATTCTATGTCAGTTTTTGTATAACCTGTTTTAGCCAGTCTGGTCCTATATTTTTTTTTTTTAACACAAAATGCATTTTAAATTTCCTGTATTTGTAATTTGTAATTTATTATTTTTTTTTTCACGTTTAAACTACCCTGTCTGGCTAACACCACAGATTGTCAATTTTGTTGGAAATTCACATGAACTCTTAGCGATGTCCGTTGCTTTTCCTGTGTTGCGAAAAAGGCACATTTTCTGGCAAATGTAAATTGCAAACCACAGGTATAGAGACAGCCAACAATTTATTTTTTCAAAGGTCAGTTTTGCTTATGGCTGTGGTTAGTGAATTGTTTTACTATGTGCACACTGCACTATACGCCAACTAATCATTGTCAATATTTCAACACTACTCTTCCGACATTTCTTATTTTCATCGCTGTTTGCGGAAGCTGTTATGATTATTCTTTGTGCATCTTAGGCTTGGTTAACATCCAACTTCTTTTTTTTTCCAATGTTTTCCTAGATTATGATGATGGGTTTTCCATAAAGCACTCCGCAGCAGCCCGTTTTCAGCGCAACCACCGGCTGATTAGTGAGATTCTCAGTGAGAGTGTAGTGCCTGATGTGCGTTCTGTTGTCACAACTGCCCGTATGCAAGTGCTCAAACGTCAGGTCCAGTCTTTGATGGTTCACCAGGTATACAGTAATTGCGTTTTGGACTTTGATACTTGCACACGCGGGTCATATTATGTTGGTAGTATTTGGTAACTGTTGTCTCTGGTTGTCTCCTACCACAGAGAAAGTTGGAAGCAGAATTGCTTCAAATTGAAGACCGCCACCAGGATAAGAAACGAAAATTCATTGAAGCCACAGATTCGTTCACAAATGAGCTCAAAAGAGTATGGCCTCTTTTTTTTTCTCTCTCTCTTTTAAATAACAACAAACATTGTTGAAACATTCCAAGTCAGGCTCATTTCACATGTTTCCTAACTGTTCAGTGAGCAGTTCTGGTAAAGTACCAGCCTACATCTGCCCCGAGCCATACGCTTCCGTTAACTCCATCCACATGTTGTTGCAGTCACATGTCTCTGAAATTAAATGCAGCTTTTGTTGGCTGCGTTGTCAACAGCTTACAACAGTATTGATGATGGCCTACAACAGTATTGATGATGGTATTATCCTCTGATCTAATACCATCAAACATGAGAAATTAAAACATGATGCTCCATTATTAAAGTATGTTTTTTTTTTTTTGAATGATCCTGATTTTTTGAGTGATGCAAATATTTATATACAGTCAAACCTCGGTTTTCGTCCATCATCCGTTCCAGAAGGCTGTTGAAAACCGAAATTGTTCGAAAACCGAAACCACGCTCTTTTTAAAATAAAAATGTTTACTGAACACGTCTACTCACAATGGAAAGCAACACGAGGAAGCGTCACTTCCTCGTGTAAGGAAGGCACAGGAGTCAAGTGGTGCATTCAAGTGCGCTCAGTTCGTTCGAGAACCGAAATTTGTTCGTCATCCGAGGCATAAAAAACTCGAAAATTTTGGTTGAAAACCGAATTGGTTGAGAACCGAGACGTTCGAAAACTGAGGTTTGACTGTATATATTTTTTTCAGCTTTGCTGTATGAAAGTGGAAGTGGACATGGAGAAGATATCTGCAGAGATTTCTGCAGCAGAAGAGGCAGCCCGCAAACGGCTGGCTGAACGGGAGAAAGATGCAGGCGACAGAGGAAGTAAAGAGGCCCCCACATATGTGTCAGGAGCAGCAGAAGAAGAAAAACATGGCAAATCCCAACCGAATTCTCTCAATGACAGTACCAACAAGGGAGGTGAGAACAATGAGTTGATCGGCAAAGATCCATCAGGTGAGCCATATAACCAGTCATCGGTGACTAATTGAGATGTCTGGCTCACAAAACAAACGGTATAGTTGACCACTTTTTTTTTTTAAACGTTCTTTTACCCACTGATTTAATATTGCAGGGAAGCAGAAGGCCGCAGAGGAACTTCAAGACCAGCCAGGCAGCGAAGAGGGGGCCTCAGAGGACAAGGAGAGTGTCCTTGAGGGAGCCATGGAGGAGGGAACCAGTGACAGTAACACAGGTTCAGAAACCACCTCTGCTCAGACAGAAGATGCTCTGACCAGTGAACCATCTGAGGGTTCCGGCAGGGCAAGATCAACCCACTGAGACGCTCGCCTGTCTCTGAACTATCGGACTGCCTTTTCATCTGCTGGACACTCAAGAAGTTACCACCAACTATGTCTTGTTTTACCCCAAAAGCAGACAAAACAAGAGAAACAAGTCTTTGCAGCTCAAGTCGGCACAGCCATTGTTTGTAAAGTAGTGAACAACAGGAGCCTGTAAGAAGTAGCCATATATTTTTTCACAGGAAGAACTGCCCATAGCCCATTTCGGCAAATATCAATTCCTAACTCTGTCCATTGCAATAGAAATCTGATAACATGTGAAACAACCTCATGTGAATCAAGTGTTACGTAGATGTAACAATGTTTTGTAGTGTGATTATTTTTTGTATCTTTTTTTGTTTTGTTTTTTTTGTCCATGTTTCAATTCCCAAAAACTGTTAGTTAGTCGCAAGGAGCTGTGTGATCTTGGCAGGAAACGCTTTTTACTACTTTTGTTGGTATTATGGTGACTGTCTCTGGATTTTTTTATGTCCCTAGTAGTAAAGTAATATGAGTTAGTTTCTGATATTGTTGTTATCTTAGTCCATCAGCAGGTATTCGATCTCTCACAGGAAACAGTGCTGTACAAAGATCAGATGATAAACAGTGTTCTAAAGTTTGCTAGCAGTCGAATTAGTCAAGAGCTCATAACCTAGACATATTGAGATATTGTGCATAGAGTGTATGAGGTTTGCATGAATAAGAAGTCATTTTCTCATACAATTGTCCAGAATACACAGTTTTAAAATGCATGTTATTGTACATGTTTCTGCCAAAATAAACTTTTGTTTTACATTCCAAATCACATTTTTTTCTCGTGGTATTTTATGTACAGTAATTGCAACAAAGGTGCCACAAGTGGGATTACTACATTTCACTGATTCAAGAAGCCACCTACTGCGCAGCACTTTAAGGAGACTAGTTGGGACATGCTTAACTGAATCACTGCCATTTATTCGTTGGCACACCAGTTGGTTGAGCTGGATCGCTGGACTAATTTTAAAGAGAAATGGTGTAGGCAGGATTTCTGTGTTTGTGTGTGAAAAGGGGCGGGGGTTCACTTTAGACCGCTTTTAAGTCATTGCTGCCTATTTAATTTAATCTACTCGCCTCTGTCGATCGTGGGTCCTTAGAGTTGTCATCCCACCCCCGCACACCAACACATTTTCCACGACTTAAACTTCCTTACGACCACGTGGTTCCAGTTGGTGATTGCTAGTGATGGCGGGATGAAGCCCCGTGAATGTATCGAGTCATTTGGGCCAATTGCTTCGCCAAAAGGCTGATCAATCGAGGCCCCATTTAATAGCTCATTCAGTAGTGCTGACATCTGCTGGTCATTTGATGTAACGCAGATGTTCTGTGGTTAACAGGCAACAAACAAGTAAATCTGTGCACAAAACAATGGAAGTTTTGTCCATTAAATATTGTCTGCATATTTGTCAGTTGTATGTTCAGTTACTTGATGTGCTTGTGTAACTGGGACACACATTGGATAGAGGGAATGGTGTATTTTATTGATTTTTGTTAAGGAATAAAATCATTTTGACTGTGTTGGGGCTCAGTCGATTCCTTTTTTTGGAAATGATTTCCCCTGCCTTTGAGAAAACCCTCTCGCAGTGTTGGGAGATATCTGTTAGAAATGCTCCCAAACTAGTGAAGTCCTTCGCTTTTTGGGTGGCTCCGCCTCCATTCTCAAGCAGTCGAAATAGCGCAGCAATGATCCAAGACTCACGTCAGTAGTGATGTGTCGTTCGCGAACGAACCGGCTCTTAGAGACGGCTCTTTGACCGCACGTGATTGGTCAAGATCCGTGGTAGAAGAGGGAGGGGGGGGAGGGTTACACGCACACACACTGCAGCGTCGAGAAGGGGAAGGAGTTAGACACACACACGCACACACGCACACACACAGCAGCACACTGTGAGCAGCACACGAACAGGAGAGACAGGGAGACGAGAGAGAGCTCGATAGCGCTACAGAGAAAAAACAACACGGTGGAAAGTGGAAAGGTGAGAAAATGGATAGGAAAAGCAGTGAAATTTGGACTCATTTCAACTTAATTGATAGTTCAACAGCAGCGTGTAGACTGTGCAAGGTTAAAATATCCAATATCAAATTTTAATTTATAATTTGTTGTGTGGTAATCAAAGCTTAAGAAGAAAACCTTTATTAGTCTCGCAATGGAGAAATTCACAATTCACAGCAGCAAACTTATGAAAGGAAGAAGTAGAACAACAAAATATAGGAGCTGCTGGAATATGTACAATACAATACCGAGTAAGCTCATATTCCGGTTTTTAAAAATCTGAAAAATACTCTCATGAGTTACTTATTTTCTAACCTGAATATTTGGTCAAATAAACAGTATCGGAATGTACGGAGGCCCTCTAGTGCCAAGGTATGAGAAGAGAAAAACACTTTTAGCTCATCTGGTCCCTCAAAAATGTACATTAGGAACCTCTACTTAGGAACGACTCTTCATACGAAATTTTCAAATTACGAAACGTCTTAACAGGAAACTATTGGCTGTTGTTACGAGAGATAGCGCAGCAATGATCCAAGACTCACGTCAGTAGTGATGTGTCGTTCGCGAACGAACCGGCTCTTAGAGACGGCTCTTTGACCGCACGTGATTGGTCAAGATCCGTGGTAGAAGAGGGAGGGGGGGAGGGTTACACGCACACACACTGCAGCGTCGAGAAGGGGAAGGAGTTAGACACACACACGCACACACGCACACACACAGCAGCACACTGTGAGCAGCACACGAACAGGAGAGACAGGGAGACGAGAGAGAGCTCGATAGCGCTACAGAGAAAAAACAACACGGTGGAAAGTGGAAAGGTGAGAAAATGGATAGGAAACACAGTGAAATTTGGACTGATTTCAACTTAATTGATAGTTCAAAGGCAGCGTGTAGACTGTGCAAGGTTAAAATATCCAATATCAAAATTTAATTATTTAATTAATTTTATAATTTGTTGTTTTACTGTAAATAGTTAAAAGCTTATAAATATACACAATCAGAGATTGGAACTTTTTGTTGACCTTGTTTTGAGATGGGTCTTTGTTTTTGTACTTTGTAATTTATTTTTTGTAGCATTCCATGTTGAGTATGTTCAGAAGAATATAAATAAAGCCATAGAAATAATAAATATTTGATATACTGCATATTTTTTTACATTAGTAATTCATTTTACACATAATTTTACATGAGTTTTGGAAGTAAATTAAGCAACAAAAAAAACTAAGGAGCCATTTGGGAGCCGAAAGAGCCGGCTCTTTTTAGTGAGCCGAGCCAAAAGAACCGGCTCTTGAAAAGGAGCCGGAATTCCCATCACTACACGTCAAGACGGTCATGCGGGGGACTCTTCCTGGGTTTTCCGCGCCTTTTTATGGAGCGCGAATCACGATGTGAGTCAGTCACGTGATCGCTGAAAACTGGGCCTCGTTTGCCTTCGGTCACGTGATCTGAGGAACAAACGAGGCAGGCCGAGATACGGGCTCCATTTTACCACGCCGGCTTTGTGCGGGGCATGACGCGACTCCTGTTCCATTTGTAACGTCACTAGTGATTGCAGGTCGTGGCTGAGGTTGGAAGAGCTTCACTTCTCACTGGCATACGTGTGAAGATCTCATGCGATAGAATACAGCTTTTTTGAGTCCTGCAATGGAGAAATTGAGGTTTTACAACAATTCAAAGCAAACAGTTGTATGTGACAATACATTACAGATAATCATCACCTAGAATTATATTGGAGGGAATTATGGATGTCAACTCATAATTTTAAGTCAAAATGAAATGGCAGTACCATGGGCGTCATTAGGCCTATTTTAGGGAGGCTTCAGCCTCCCTAAAAATGTCTTTAGCCCCCCTAAATAATTTCATTGCATTATTTAAAAAAAAAGTATTATTTATTTTTCCTGTACTTTTGCTAATATATTGCATCAAATTCAATGTAATGTGGCCATTTTAAATTACATTTCGATAACCTGCCATTATTGTAATGTTAAATCTCCCAGGTTTCCTGAACGCAACAGGTGTTGCGTT